ATGGTGTTACCAACTAGCACTACCAGCAGGTAGATGGTGTTTTTTAAAGCAAGAAGGTGCAGGCTAACTGTGCTTTCAGCCTGGCAAATAGAATATGGCTGTGCTGAGAGAACTTGAAAATCCTTTCTAGATTTCCATCCAGCTACAGGAAAAGGCCAGCACCTCACAAATTTGGTTCAACTTGGCAGCACGCTGCTGTCAGAATGCAAACAAAACTGTAGCTATATATTTGACTGTTTCTCTGCATTAAATAAACTTCCATCTAAAGTGTATCAAATATGTATTTGTAAATATTCTCTTTGCTATCTCTAATGTTAAATCTGTGTTCATGCCTTGGATATCAGGGAGCTACTTACTCAGTCAGACGCAAATGCTGACCTGGGTAGCACTATGTGAATTGATCTCAGCCCTATCCTTTTTCCCTAGCAACCTTCTTGACTAGTGTCAGGCTGTTGTGTGTCTTGGGTGACTGGTAATATCCTGACTATATGACGCAAATAACAAATCCTTCACTTGTCATCTTTCCATTGGGTAGAATACGGTTCTGATCTGGAAGAAGACATAAAATCAGAAACAAGTGGCTACTTTGAACAGATTCTGGTTTGCCTTCTTCAGGTAATGCTAGAGAAGAGAAATGACAGTGTAAAGTTTTCATGTTTTTCTCTTCTTTTTTTTTTTTTTTTTTTTTTTGAGAAGGCATGCAATAGAAGGGGCAATACAAGCATGGTCACCAAAGAAACTGCTGAGACAAACATGTAACTTGGACTGGATCTGTGTTTCAACTTCAATGTGACTGAAATAGGGATTCCTCCCTCCCTTAGCAACAGGAAGATCTGGGAACTTAGCTCTGCTGCAGGGAGACACCTCACTTTCGCATGTGTAAAGCTATTGCACTCTACAAGGGCCTTAGAAAACAGTGCCCCTCAGCTATGATTCACCTCCCTTCCAGGGACTCTGCTCTCAATGCTGAGTGCATTCGGATGCATTTATCCTATCACATTTTCCGAATTTTCCTGCCTAGCAGCAGAATAACTTAGGAATTTTTTGACTGCTTCATATGACTAATTTCAGTGAAGGAGTTAGTACTTATGCTGTCTGAAACATTACTGCTTGAGCACTCTTCAGAAATAAATAGCTCAGAAAGATAATTGATCTTTGCCCAGAATGTATGCTGTCATCCTTATATATGGAAGATTCTTCATGAAATAAAATAGTTACCTTTCTCTTTCTTTTCATAGGGTGAGAGGGACAATGCCACTTTCTATGTGGACCCAGCACTGGCTCTCCAGGATGCAGAGGTACTCTCAAATGCTTGTGATCAGTGATATGCCTGAATCCCATCTCTCTTGAACTTCAGAGTGCTTCACTAGGCAGCAGAGTCCTGGTCAGCAGATGGTTGGAGCCACAATAGCTTAGGGATGGGTGGTCTTCAAGCAGAAGCAAGTTGGGGTTCTTTAATTTTGCCTGCATTGCTGAGCCTTGCTGTTCCAAAAAGGAGTGATAAGAGCTGGGCTTGGGCTCAGCTGCTTTAGATATGTGAAAGTACATGTATGGTGGAGTGGGACAGCAAAGAATAGGGAAGAAACCTTAAGAGTATTGCTGGCTGCTCCAGCTGCTGCAGGAGGAATGGAAAGGTTGGAGATATTGGCTGCTCCAGTTTGACTAGAAGACACAGTCAAGGGGTTTCATAATCAACTATTCTAGGAGAGTCTAGTTCACACAGTGTTTTAGGTTACTCAAAATCACTTTAACTTAAACCAAACTGTTCCTTTACCAGCTACACACAGAGAACATCTCTCTAAAAATTGTGTGTTAAATTACAGGCTCTCTATGCTGCTGGGGAGAAGATACGGGGCACTGATGAGGTACAGTTTATCACCATCTTGTGCAAAAGGAGTGCCATACACTTGCTGAAAGGTATGGAGCACTCACAAGCCTCTGAAATGAGAAATCATTAGCCAAGAGTCAGGGCTGTAGGTGGGAGAGATGGGTTGTCATAAGTAAGTACCTGCATCTGTCTCCTAATCCTTGGTCACTCAGTGACCAAAAGCTGCCAGCAGTTTTCAGGAAAACTTTTGAAGAGTGAGTGCTGCTGAAAATCCAGTGGCTTATTTGGGAGTACTCATACAATGGTGATGGCTGGATGGTATAGCTGTTCATAAACCCAAGGAGAGAGACAGACAATCCCTTTCTAACCAGGTAGGAGCATGCAGTGGACAGATCCATGACCGCTTGGTTATGGGTTCCTCTGGGGGGAAAAAAATCACCAAAACCGGCTGGTGGTTCAGTGATGGAGAATCCCAGGGTGCACCCAGGTTCTGCCTCAGGTTCTTCTGAGAGCATCAGAGGCTGCTGGAAGGGAACATGCTAACCCAGATCCAGGTAAGGGAGCCTTCAGCTCCCCACTGACCAGTGCAACAGAGACCTGACCTCATCATCTCAAGACTTTTGAGACAGTCCAAGCCTGATTAATAGATTTTGTTGTGTCAGTTGAACCTAAGCTGTTAGACATGTACTGTGTAAATCCGCTGCACCTAAAGTGATAAATTTAGCCAGTGATAAATAAATTACGTCTGAGCTTTTTTAAACTGAGGTCTTCTGAGGCTGTTTTCTAGGCCCTGGAGGCCAGCTCCACCTTGTGTTGCAAATTTAATCTCCCATCAGCACTTACAAAACAAACCAAAAAATGTGATTTTTAGTCTTCGGCTTTGCCTGTCTTTAGGAACTGAGTTTCAGCTAGTTATTAGGATGCAACCAATCTTTGGAACCTACCATATCACCAAGCAAGTAATTTCCTCTGTACTATGGCAACCTGTAACTGTTTGTCTTTAAAACTTGAGTGTAATTGTTGCATATATATATTTTATACGTATATAAACATATATATATATATATATGTATTTTACTATGGAAAGTAAGCCTGAGAAGGTTGTATCCATCTATCTATTCTGTGGTACTGCCTTTCCTCAAAGTTATCTTAGTGTTAGTGTTCAGGTATCTGATCTTGAATGCCGA